AAAAACCATTAAAAGCTTGATAAAGCGCGGCAGTGACTTTACAATTGCTATGCTATGGACTCGTCGTTTCGATACTAATGCGTCAGTGAAGCCATGCAGTTCAATCACTACAAGAAATGGAAGCAATGCTCTTTGATACACTCGCACCATCAGAGGGACATTACAAAGCAAAAAACAGGAATTGATCTGCGTGTACTGGAGTGCTGCAATCTGTAGCAGAGAGCAGGGTAAACCTTTTCAGTGAGGGGATTTCTTAAATGTGAAAAAAACTTTCGTTTTTTTTTCGGGATAATAATATAAATCAAATACAATCCAATCAAGTTCGTGCTGGTTCAATGCCCAAAGTAACCAAGACTTTGCATCTTGTCCGCAAACAAACGGGTATTGGTGGGTAGAACGCGACGGCAAAGCTTAAAAAAGAGGAAGAGAAAACCGAATCGAAAAGATGGAGGAAAGCGAAACAGAACGAAACTAACATCAGCAGACAAACCAATCCTAGCGCCGGAATTTGCAGCAATGTAAATCCGTGGTATTCCTTCTTTTCGGCTTAAACGTGAAGCTTCATAGTAGAGCCGGTGTTCGCGCATTGAAAATGAGCCAATCTGATGTGAAATATCGTTTGCAATAACAACCACTTCTCGCCCTTCCGGATATTCCGGAACAAGCATTTTAACACGCCATGCAACCATTCCAATTTTGCTCAATGTGCCAGGTTCTTCCATTTCGATAAGCTGCTTTGTACTTTCATCATAAATCAGCTCGTGAAACTGACATACAGCCAATTTTTGTGGTCTTTCGTTTGGCCTAGAATGAGAAAACTGTGAAAAAAAAAATTAAAAATCTCAAAAAGGTGCACTTGTAGAACTCAATTAAATCATATTTACAATCTTGTCAGTGCTGCATTATCCCCAGGCGCTTCTTTTGCTGTAGCTGTGTGCATGTTCTGTGTTTCAAGCTCCCATTAATGTGGAGGCCAGTCCTACCTAAGACTTATTACATATTCTCGCGAAGCGTTATTGCCTGACGCACCGACAACCAGAAACCGTCCTCAGCACTATTTCTGAACGATTCTCAGAAAAGAGAACCGTCGACAGTCTCATTATCCGGTAACTGCTGCTGGCAAAAACGCTAATGAGGGAGGGACATGCGCCTCCGCTTAGGTTAC